ATGCTATCTGGGCCTTACCAGCATCCTGTCTCTTTTGTTCCTGGAATCAGCCCACCCCGCCCTGCCCTTTCCGCCGCCACCGCCGCCGTCCCAGAAGCCCCCGGGCACCCGGACTCAGACTCATGCGAGAGCATGTCAGGTGGAGCGGATCTCAGGTTACCTGGGACAGGTTGTTTTGAGGGGCTGATTGAGATGTGTTTGGAAAAACAACATATTGTTTACAGTCAATGAACAGATGCTGCTTGTATTGTAGACAAGCTCATAAAATCATAACTGAAGGTGCAAATGCAAAGGCTGCTGGGAGGTGTGTGTGTGTGTAAGCCTCTGCACGTCTGCATATTCAATGCACTTAATTATAACTGCAGCTGTTTTATCTGCAGCTGAAGTCACATGATAAGACTTTTTTTTTTACCAATCGTTGGCTTTATGAAGATTTGCTCAATCAACAAGCCAAAAACTGTCTGTTTCCATTTGTTAAATCAAAAGTGAGACTATACAAGGTTTCCACGTGACACACAGTGTGCTGGCATGTGTCTCTGTGAATGGCTCTCCGGCTCTGCTGCCAGTCCTCTGTCTGTGTCCTGGACAGGTACTGTTTTGTCACATGGACCAGGTGGCAGCGGTTCCTCCATCCGTCTCTGTGGCGGCTAGAGGTGACACTCCATCAGCCTAATGGATTAGTCTCATTGGCTGGATAATTTATTGATGTTTCCCTCTCTTGGGGATAATGGGTGTATGGGCCGCTGATTGATGAACGCTCATGTCTGCCTTCGCAGTGTGTCAACCGCAGTCAGCGGTCAGTCAGTCAGTCAGTCTGGTGCGTTATGAGCCGCAAAGTTGACTTATGTAACACCCAGACTGATGGCCTCATGAACATCAAATGTGTTCATTTGACAAGCCATTCATAGATTATATTTAAAGCCTGTTTGATGTCGGAGCTGAAGTCACTTGCAGCTTTAAGACATCAGATATAAGTGACCTCACTGTGACACAGATTTATTAGATTTCTTTTACACTTAAGACAACCTGAAATCTGCAGCCACTCATCACAGTTTAATTAGTATCTTTGATTAATGACAGGATTTGCAGATCTGCCGATTTACGATACCCACAGTAACAATGTGTTCTGCTTACTTGTTGAAGACTGGATCTGACATCCATATTTTAATGGCCAACGAAGGGAAGCGGAGAGGCCCAAAATCCTTGGAGTAAACATTATCTGGCGGGTGAATAGGTGCACGGAGGTAAAAGAGGAGCGGCAGAGACATTTTGCCTTTGTCATGTGCTGCTGATCTGTCTGTAAAAAGCCTTCAGTCTCAGAGGAGAAACAGTTTTCCAGCAGCCAGCCTTTTGCCTCCATCTGACAAAATAAAAGCTACTGCTAATTTTAAGTGTGACCCAATATGTTTCTGTGGGCGCCTGCTCTGGTAATGTTTGCTCTTGACCTCATACAGTTGTATCCAGAATGTCACAGGTCTCTGACATACAGCCCCTCTCCCCTCCATTAGAGGACACCTGATCCTGCACAGGCTTTCACTGATGAAAGAGAGCGAGCAGCATGCGCAGGAAATGGGCTCACAATGGTTCCTATCATGATTCCACGTACTTAGAGTCATTGAATTGCATTTATGAAGAGCCCTCTAGTTTTTTCTCTTTACTGTTACAAAGTGGATCTCCTCTTTGTGGTGTAAGTGATACTACAGGTAGCAGCTGAATTACAGGGTTTGATAAAAGAGGCTTTCACAGAAACCAAGAAAACCAAGAGAGGATAGGTTTGAGGTAGATATGCATTTTCAAACTGCCTTCCACTTTCAATCAGTAACTAAATAATAGAGGCCTCCGCTTGTGTCTTACAGGAAGAGATTTTTTTGTGAGTCTGTGTTAGGGCGTGTCCTCCCTCCTCCCATTCTGTCTCCTTGTCTCGGCTGGTAATCTGCACATCTGTCAGATGTTCCCCACAGAGAGAAGTGCTCTGCTGACGCTTCAGGACAGCCATAGCCTGAGAGTCTACACAGATGTGCACTGCTTCAGAGCATCCGCTCACACTCACCCAAACATCCTCAAATGCTTTTCTTAACCTTTATTCACCCAGCGGCTGTTTTGCCGAGCATGCACGCTGTTTTCTACCCTGTTTCATATTCACACACACATTCAAACGTACAGCCACGGCGTGCTACTGTTTGCAGCTGAGGTAATGAGGAGATGAATGGCCTACTTAAAGCGACAATACGTAACTTTGGCACAGTGGGAAGATGTTTCACCACCATGGTCTTGACATTGTATATGTGACTCAGTAAATTTAAAATTTAAAGATATCATCACTTAACAGAAACTGACAGTAACACATTGTGTCAGCTTAAAAATTCAGCCTCCACTCACAGTGTCTCTTTTACATGATCTCAGTGTGTAGCAGAAAATGTAGTACTCTGTTATTTTTCTCTCCTTTTCTCATTAAACCTGTAAATTCATGAATCGGATTCATAAACCCTTAAAACTCACTCAGGTGAAAAGCCTCAAATCACAGCAGCCACACTTAATTTGCATCTGTCCATCTATGTATTGACATTGTTATGATATATTACAATACCTCTATTTGCTGCATGTGAGACTGAATACAGCTTTGACTTTCATTCAGACAGGATCAACAGTCCGCGTAGGGAATAAAATGCTCACTGTGCACCTTGGTAATTTAAGTCATTCTTCCATTGTTTCATTTAAACCATCAGGAAATTATAAGAAATGGTCTGTAACAGACATTCAACAGGACAAAGGAGCCAAAAGAGGAAACCAAAAGCCTCCATATGGGGACAGTGGAGAATTGAAGGGAAGGCAAAAACACTACATGAGGTGAATTTGAGTGAAAAATCAAACTCCTTCTTGGAGGCATAACTCAAATAAGTCAAGTATTAACACACATGAAAGTGACACATGTGACTTAGACTTCCTCATCATCTTCAATGTCCATCGTGACTAAACATCCATAAATCTGCTTAGAAATCACATCTGAACTCCTGAGAATCATCACGTTTTTAGGTTTTCTTCAGTATCATAGTTCTCCAGTGATATCCAGATGTGTATCCATTGGTTAACTGAAAGCAGGAACTGCTAATAGCTTATTTGGCATACATTTTTAATGGTGCTTAAATGTAAACAAATAAAAGCTAAAATAGAGAATACCAGCACCTGCTTAGCAAACATCACAACCGCTCATTCAGTGAGCTTTTACAGGGTCTTGCTCTCCAGGTGGCTTTTATTTTTACTGTTGTGATATTAATAAAGTAGAAGGACAAACAGCTCTTCTCACAGAAAAAAACTCCCTCAGATCTACTTTAAAATACAAGCATGTCGCTCTGGACGGGACGGAAATTACAGGAGAGCCAGCGTAGGAAGGATGAGGTGATGTTAAAATCACTCTCACCCTCCCCTAGAGACAAAAATCCAAATAACAACCTCGCTGAGAGAAGGACCACAAACAACATGGCTCCTGGTGACATGCTCACTGTTTTGGTAAAACTACTGAAATGGATGTGCAGAGAGGAGTCATGAAGTCGAACTGACTCAGTGTAACAGCAATATCTATGTATACAGTGTGAGGTTTGTTAATATAGCTAACATTAGCCACGATAAGCCACCGGTCATGCCAGGCCAATTGAGGCTGTCACAGCAAAAGCCTGGAACAGATTGAACTGGATTCAACTTTTAATTGGAGTAATGAAAGGAAGATTGTGTTAATTCTTCACTCAGAGGTTACATAGTTGAAATGTACACCAGCAGCAGTTAGTCAGCGAGGGAGCAACGTTCATTTCCTTTGCTCAGATATTGTCATATTCCCATGTAGACCTCCTTGTGTTCCCAGAATAACCCACAGAAAAACACATTATATGTCCTACACAAAAGAGACAGAGCTGTCACATCGTTTCTCAGTGCTGTCCAAGGACCCAGAGCCCTGTGTAGGCTGACAAGCTTCATTTGACCTCGGAGAAGCATGAAGAGAAAGAAATTAAACTATCCAAGCACGAAAAAATCAAATAACAGAGATGAAATGGCGAGCTGCTGTAGCACAAAAACCAATCACTTCCTCTAATGTCCCCTAAACCAGTGCCTCCCCCACGCCAGCCGCCCCTCCCTCACAAAACTTTTGTGGCTATCACTCTAACAAAGTGATGTAGTGGACTAGCCGCGGTATAAATGGGATTTCAGCATCCCTAGCTATTCTCCTGTCCAAAGCTTCATTTCACTGACTCTCAGCTCCCCTGCTAAGTTCAGTAATGGAGCTTTAAATCCCCTCTGTTGTCGGGTCCTCACTTATTTTGCTACCGGGTCGATGATAGAGCTCTCGCTTCTTGTGCCACCTTGTTGATAAGACTTCACTTTGTGCCTTGAAACGCCACTGATTATTTTCCCTCCGCACATTGGCCACGCGCCCCTCCCTCCTGCATGCTCTGTGTGCTGTTTCCCCTGAAGACAGCCTCATGGCCATGCCTCTCCCAGCTGACTAATATACTGAGATTAATACTTTCTTTTAAAGGGACTTTTTTTCAAAGATTCTGTGAGCTTTTTTATAGTCCGCTCTTTTGTAGTATTGAAAGGTCAAACCCCAACTCCTGCGTTTCATCTGTTGCAGAAGCTTTGCTCTCTTTATATTTCAAGTCATCGTCTATTACTGCATTATTGTGTTTATGTGTGTGTGTTTGCCCTGTGCATGTGTGAGCAGTTCCATTAGAGAAAACAACAGATCTAGAGAAACTGGGTAAAGGGAAACAGAGGCGGTGTGCGTGGGAAGTTTTCTCAAACTGTGATCGTTAAGGATGGGATGGCTGTTTGCATCTATTTGAGTGTTTCATGTTTTGGAGCTAAATTGCTGCCTATTTGACAGCTTGCTGTAGTTTTTGTGATAACTGAGGCGTATCGTCACCTTCTGTAAACAACAGCTTTCAAAAGGTGGCTTAACTTTCACCTCATCTGACTCTTCGTCTGTTGCTTTGTCTTTTTTCTTGCAGAGGCCTTTGACCTGGTGCTGCGCCACGGCCGTAACTCCACCCTTGCCATGCTGAAGTCAGAGTTCCCAAGTCTTGCAGGTGGGGCCCAGAGCCTTGTGGGGCAGCTCTTCCTGGACATGTCTCTCTACATCCTTGGCTCAGACTCCACAGTGGACCACATGGTGGCGGTGCTCTATGGCCGCCTCTTCCCCCTCGCATACCGCCGCCTTCTGGGGGGCAGCGTGTCGTCTGTGTCTGAGGAGTGTGTAAGAGGAGCCTGGAAGGACTCAGGAGCATTTGGCCCTTATCCCAAACTGATGATGACCCGTCTGTCTCGCTCCCTCCTGGCCACACGAGTCTTCCTGCAGGCGCTGAACCTGGGCATCGAGGTTGTCAACACAACAGACCACCTGCGGCCCAGCCGGGACTGCAGCAGGGCCCTGCTGAGGCTGTGGTACTGCCCGCACTGCCAGGGCATGCTGGGACCGCCCGCCTGCAGAGGCTTCTGTCAGGCAGTGATGCAGGGCTGCCTCGGGGGAGCGGCCGAGGTGCAGCCTCACTGGAGTAGCTACGTAGACGGACTGGGGAAGCTGGCTGGTTCCATGAGGGCAGAGAAGGACATGGAGGCTGTTGTTCTTAGACTGCCTTCAATGATCAGACTGGCTCTTAAGCACGCTGTGAACTCACGCAGCCGCCTCAGCACCCTGGTGAGTCCAGCACGCTAATGCACATACACACTGAAAATGTGGCTTTCATTTCAAAATAGTGTGTAGAAATACAAGGGCCTGCATTGTTGTGTGTTCTCAAAGGATGACAATGAAATGATTATCCAGAAAGAAAATGTATTTGATTACTAAATATTTAATTGCTGTCAGAACCAAAACACAACACCTCTGGAATTTAATAAGGGGACGAATCATTTAACCATATTTATAAGACAGTTTTGAGGAAAAAAATTAAGGTAAAATCACACTACCACTAATTTCTATTAATATTGGCTCTGTATCTTATTCACTCCAGTTGAGGCCATGTGACCTCTGAATTCAATGACGCGTTTTGGGGCGAACACGTGGCTGTATGAAGAGAACTGGATATCATGTGTTAAGATGAGGCACAATTCAATCTGATGAAAACGGCAAAAACGTTCTTCAGGTTGACGTGTTCTTGGGCCTGTTGAGTGTGAGCATTACAGCCCCCTTCTGGCTGAGCGGACTAACTATAGGTGACTATACACGTTTTTACAGCCATGTCCTGTAGTAATAATTGTGTATGAGGTAAAGTCTTTCTGGACCACCGCAAAACTCTGTTGTTCATCTTTGTGTAACTCCCAAAAATAATAGTGATGCGAGCTTGTGTTTGGAAATGGGTCGCTGAATATTCGAACTGTGTGTCATCACCCTATTTTGAACAATATTGCACTGCTATAAACTACTGCTGCAGCACAAACAACAGACTGTTTACTGCTCAGTATTTATCTTTTATCCACATTAGACCTGCAGTTAAATCACCTTTGTCGGTGTGGGGCAGTTTTGTTGGACAGACAGCTAATGTGGCCCAACCCTCATGCCATTCGTGTCACAAAGTGAAATACCAGGAATGTGCCGTCATATGTGTTTGATTGACCAAAGAAATCCACCGTCAGATTAGAGTTTACCTACCTTTTTTATCAGATGAGCCGGAGTTTTTTATTTTCCTAGAGGCGTGTGACAGCACAGTGGTCCCATTGAAATGAATTTTGTGATGTAGAGCTAATGTCACGGTCGGACCCATCCCTCAGAACAATACACAGGACATGAAGAGTGAAAGAAAACATTTCTGCCAAGTTCATTTCTGGTTGCAAGATCTTTGTTACGTGAGGGAGGATACGTTGGTTGGTTTTTTTTTTTGGCTGGATAAATGATCCATGCGACATTTTTTTCACTCCAACAAAGAAGACATCACTTTATAATAAGAAATCACAAACACACAAACAGGCACAGCTTCAGCTGACCAACCGCATATTACTTCTCCACAAACCAAGATTGCACCTTGGACTTAACTGAATCAAGAGAAAGAAATAAAGGAGGGAGAGGAAAGGGCTGCAGGAAACAAGCTTGCATTTTTTCAGGCAGTCAGACAGATGCTCCCGGCATGTCACGCTGAAACTCGTCTCTCACTCCTCAGCAGCGGTGACCCGTTATGTGTGGTTTCAAACGCGATAAAACCGTCAAGCTTGTTCGTAGCCCACATGTGAAGCCGGGGAGAAGTGCTCATGAAATATGAAGGCCTTTCTCTGCCATAGTTACAGAGCTGGATGTGCTTTTGCTCCTGTATATCTGCTGAACTTTTCACTCTCACACCCCAAATCCCCGCGGTGACCAAGTTTCCACTCAGAACCCATCATTTATTAACACACAGGTTGACCTCACTTACTCTGCAGCGCGAGGGTGTGGCTGCATCCATGAATCGCTGACTTAGGGGAAATTGCTCTCTCTCTCTCTCTCTCTCTCTCTCTCTATCTGAGAGATCCTTATCCAAAATTAAACAAGGCCTGTGTGGGTTTATTTAAGACTGCAGTTCCAGACGCCACATACGACTTTACACTGTGTTTATGGCTCTGAGTCTGGTTCCAGTATATGGGATTAAAGCTGCTATGGCAGTGCATTGTTTAGCGCCATCACAAGGTCGTGCGTGTGTGTCTGTGTGTGTGAGTGTCTGAATGTAATCTTGCGGAGACAGTCTTAGCTGCTCAGTGCTGTCATTGAAGGGACAGACGCATCATTTCCCTAAAGGCTAATTTTGTCTCACTGTGGAGTCATGGGAGACCAACCAAAATTAGACAACACCTGATTACTTCACCTCAAATAAGCAGTTTAGCATTTGTCTGAGTGAACTTGGGGATTAAAGGACCATTGCAGTGTTTTGTTTTTTTGTGTTTCATGTCGCCAATTAACTATAAATTGTTATATTGCTGTATATATATATATATATATATATATAATTGTTGAAATTAATATAGTTTGTCTTTCCAGTGATTCACACTATTGTTCCACGGTAAGGCAGTGTCAGAAGAAAGGAAGTTATTTCGAAAAGTGCATATAGTCTTAAACTGATTTTTCAGGCTTTTTAGCCCGACGTCGACAAGTTGATGTGTTTTCTACTCCAGAACTCTGTTCACTGCAGTTTATGAAAAATGTTGAGCAGTGAATTTAACTACATTTGCATCATGTTGTAAAAACGTTGCTCACCGTGCATCAGAATCCATCAGAGTAATCAGTAATCAGTTCTCAACATATATAGATAGTTTCTCATCAGATTGTATTTGCTGTTTTTTTATATTTTGATTTTCACACTCATTTCAAGTTGTGGTCCACTCATTTCGTACAACATTAACAAACTAACAGGGGTTAAAGCCACAGTCACATAGTGGTCTCTCCCTGAGACATGGTAGTCTCTTTCCCAACCCTCCTCTTGGCCTGGATTTAATGTTAATCATTCACGGCTCGGCTTTGGTGACCAGGTATCTCTACAGGGGATATATATATATTTAATGATATTGACGAATAGATGTCATTCAGCCCACTCCTCAAAAAGAAAGACAGAGATAGAGAGACAGAGAGAGAGACAGAGAGAGACAGAGAGAGAGAGAGAGACAGAGATGAAACATTATTTGGTAATTCCTCAGAGTAATTCTGTGTGTGGTTTAGCTAATGAATTACACATCAGACTAGATCGCCAATGACAACCAGATATTAAGCTGTGACAGATGTCTCTTATGAATGGTTCAAACGTAGATTAAATGCACGTTCAGTAGACCCTTGCCATGTGTGAGTCTCCTATGTGAAATGTGCCTTGGCGCCCTGGGTTAGACCAATGGTGTGGGTGGGATAGTGGGGGGTTATCTCATGTGTACCTGTCTCCACAGGATCGTCTTCAATCCTCACACTGCGCCGAAAGTCAGAAACATTGAAATCCTACACAGAACGACTTTGAACTATATACTTATTAATGCAGTCAACGTATAATTAACAAATTAACAAACTCAAAAAAATTGTCAACTGGAATGTCTAAAAATGGTCTGTTTTGGCAAATGGTAAGCATCATTGTAAAGTATATATGATTCACTCCTACGCCTTTAAATCCAAGCCTGGCATCAGCATATGTGCATTTGGCCGTGAAGAGGAAATCTTGTAATGACACTTCAATATTTTGCACAGCTACATAATGGATCTACAGACAGAGTTCTGTGTCTTGTTTTGTGGTTTCTAGTGATTGTAACAGCTGCAGCCTGGGTTGGCATCTCTCACTTAACCTCCCCTCCACTGAGAGCGCAGACCTCTGTTACCGAGGGTGACAGACGGATCAACTCTATCTGAGTAAAAGAGTCCTCGAGGTGTGAGAGAGACATCTCCTCTCTTCTCTGCAGACTTGAAACATGTAACTCTCCTGGCGAGATGACCACTCATCGTCCGCCAGCCCGCTCCCCAGCATGTTAACATTCATTTCCTCCATCCAGTGTGAATCAGCTGCTGTTCGGAGAGACGAAGAGGGCAGCCAAGAGCCCTGCAGCTCCAATCTATTCCCCTGTCAACTTCCCACCCCACTCCTGGAGTTTGATGTCATCCACCTCCGTCGCCACATCTCATCCTCAACATCCTTCTCTCTCTTTCATCCCCACCATTTATTTTTCTTTTCCTCTCATTCTTATGTGCTACTGTGAGAGAAGATGCATGATTTATGAAGCTCTATTTTTACCAGTCACTGAGGAGAAAGAGAGGGGGGAAAGAGCGACAAAGAGAGGGAAAGAAAAAGAGAGAAGAATGGAGAGTGTGAAGAGCGAGCCCAGGGGGAAGGAGGACAGTGTGGAAAGTGTTGAGTAGACATACATCACCCTGCAACCCCTCGGCTGAAAATGAAGACGAGAAGTAGGTTGAGACAGAAATATGATGGATCTGACCAAGATTAGAGACGATACACTGCAGAGGACGACAGTTGTGTATTGCTACACACTCGACACAGTTTGATGCTTAGTTACAAGTCTAATATCATATATCTCTTTGTGGGCCTCTAACATTTTTTGTCAGTAGCACACTTTTCATCCGCTCTCTTTTTGTTGTCTTCCCCTTTGTGCACAAAAATAGCTCAAGCAGATCAAATCACATCCAAACTGTTGCTTCACAGAGGAAACGAGCACTAATTAAATCTCTGCTGCATTTTTATTACTTATTAATCCATTCAAACATGTAGGCTACTGTAGACACAAGAAGCAGAATCTGTTTTGACGATGTAAAAGCCACTTGAGCTTTTAAACATGCAATAAATCATGTTTAGAAACGCTCTAACACATCATCCAAATATTATCCAAGTTGTTATTTATCAAGTCGTATGTTTAATTTGAATTATAGAAGATAAACTGTCGCGCTTAAAAGTCCTTAAAGGCGCAATCAGTGGTTTGTTTGACCATGGAAATTGCAGTTAAATTGCATGTGTAATTGAACTGTTGACATAATGATGAAAAATAAGGCTTTTATTTGTTTAGCTGATCATAGGAGGCCTTTTTTCCCCAGTCGTTTACACAGAGAAAATGCTCAGCGTTCTCCTAATACAGGGTATTTGCCCCTCATTGCGCTTTTTAAGCGGATCTATCTCATTCCTCAGACCTGTTTTCAATCTCACTTTTTTCAGATTCAGACTCACAGATCCCCCTGTTTCATCTGCATCAGACATGTGTCTATAAAATCAAAAAGACATCATGCGGTAATGGCTTTTCACAGCTCTGAATGCTTCAGGAATTGCAGAACTGTGAGTGAGAAGTGTGAAATCCATTTTCTTACAAGCATTTCCTCAACCTTGATGCACAAACAACTAAAGTCTCATTTTAAATTAGACTCTGATCTGCACATCATCTATTTTAGTGAGATTAACATCCTCAGTTACATTCAGTATTTAGTCCCCTTTATGTTTTAGCGTTCACAATTTCAGGTTTTACCATTTTGGGCAATTTTTATAATGTTTTGTGCTAAAATATTGATAACTTACTATTTTCGCAATATTTGGGATTTGCTGTCATATCACATTAATGTGAAGCAGAAATCTCTGAACTGGTGGATTTACTACATAAGTGCAGGTTACTGAGCTGAACTAATTAGTGAAATTTAAAGATTAGACTGAGAGAATCTGAACTTTACATGAGTCTATGTGTGAATACATGTTTTATGTTTAAAATAGCTTCGATCAGTGTATTAGGCGACGGTGCTCCATATTGACAGTATATAATTGCACACATACATCCTCACATTACTTTTTATCTTAAAGTAATGGTTGAAAATGTTAGCTATAAGGATAATGGATGGATAAATAATGGATAAACAATGGAAGCAGTTGACTTTAAGTAGCCTAATGGATAAACAGTTGGAATACTAACCTAAATGGCTGAAATGGTTTGATAAAAGTGATGGATAAATGGTTGAAATATTAGCTAAAGGTTAAGAGCTGAAATATTACCTAAAACTAATGGATTAACGGTTTAAATTAATTAGCTAAAAGTAGTGGCTGAACGGTTGGAATAGTTAGCTAAATGTGATTGATATGTGGTTGAAATGGTTAAAAGTACTAGATTAACGACTGTAACAGTAAATTAAAAGTAAAAGATAAAAAGTTTAAATAGTTATCTTAAGTTAATGGGTAACCCAGTTTACAGTACTTCATGTGGTAGTTTATACGAACCTGACCAAAACTCACTGAAACACTTACAATTCGATCTTATGAAAATATATATTGGAACAAGATCCATTGTAATGGTATTAAATCACATCCACATTGAAATCACAACTGAACTGAATACATTTAGTGGTGTCTGTTAAGGGGCACCTGAGCTCAGCTGTGAGGGTACGACAGTCAAAAGGGTTGGGAACACCTGACCTGATGAAAATCTCAATTTAGATTCAAATCTCAGGTGTGGTCTAATAAAATAACAATTCAAAACAATTTAAAACAGTTTACACCACATCAGACTGAAATATGTTGTTGTACCAAATTCCTCATTTCCAACTCAGACAGTACCCATTAGAAGATGGGTACCATGAAACCTGTCTGTTAGTACTTTACTTTGACACATAGTGAGACATTTCCCTCGTTTTCACTTACCGGGGAGACATTTAACCAGAATTGTATGATGGTGACAACAATGCAGGGGGGAGGAGGGCTGAGTGCTGACTCAGTCTCTCCCCTGAGCCTCGACTCCTCTGGAACACAAACATTACTCCAAATACTCTCCAATATGTTGCTACAGCTGTGCATGGCACCCTGCCACCTCTATAACACTGATAGTATCATCTTCCCTCCTGAAACTGTTTACTTATTAATAACTCATTGTGATCAAGATGAATGTATAAGCCTCAATATACATGAGAGTGTCAGGGTCTACATGCATTGCCATCGATTTCTTGAGAATTTATCTTTACACTGTGGTTGCACAAGCAGCGCACCACATGGAACCTGAGATGCAGGTGTGCCAGTGCATGGACATGCGGACCATAAGGGTTATGTGTGTGTACGTGTGTGTGTCGCATTACTGGCTGTCAGCACCCCTCTCTGTCAGTGAGGCAGGCTGCTCAGTACAGATAAAAGTGTGCAGATACTTCCGAGCTCTCACACTGAGGCAGGCTTTATCTGCAGACTCTCCTGTTGGTTGTGTTAGTCCAGCCCTGGGTGATATTAATACCCCACTAATGAGCCCCTTCCTTGAAGAACCCAGAAACAATCGTCCGTGGGGGGGGGCGGCTGCGCACTGAATCAGTCTCTCCCTTGTGCCACAACTCCCCTACGGCTTCCTGGGAACGCACAAACAAAAAGAGGAACGCAGCTCCAATCACATTAATCATGGCCTGTGGGAGCACCAGCACTCGCTCCAGGCGCAGGAGAACGAGAGAATTACACAAGAGGAAGATGTGGAGGGAGACAATGGGGTGGCAGAGACAATGGGCTGAAGTGTGTGTGTGTGTGTGTGTGTGAGTGTGTGTGTGTGTGTGTGTGTGTGTGTGCGGGTGTTTCCCCCAAGTACACAGGAGAGGAGTGTTAGTGGAGATGGCTACTCAGGGATGTTGGGTATTAGTAAATGCCTGGTGCAAGAAAACTCAACCATCTGTGACTGTTAGGATTGTGTGTGTGTGTGTGTGTGTGTGTGTGTGTGTGTGTGTGTGTGTGTGTGTGTGTGTGTGTGTGTGTTTGTGTGTGTCTGTGTGTGTGTTTGTGTGTGTGTGTGTGTGCGTGTGTCTGTGTGTGTGTGTGTGTGTGTGTGTGTGTGTGTGTGTGTGTGTAAACTAAGGTGTCTGTGCTGTGGCTTTTGCTGTATCTGTATCCTTGGATGACAAGGCTGTATTGATTAACCCTGATGATTCTGTTTTAACAGCTGATCAGCATTTCTTTGTGTCAGCATGCATGAAATAAACGTGGGTGTGTGTGTCTATGTGTGTGTGTGTGTCTGTGTCTGTGTCTGTGTGTATGTTGGCAGTGAGTTTATTATGTAGGAGTGCATGTTTATCATGTTAATGGGCTTAGGTACATTATGTTCAAATGAATAATTACATGAAATGATTCATTTTTGTTTTGCTGGAAATTTTGTGTGTGTGCACGCATGTGTGTGTGTTTGTGTGTGCATGTGGCCTCAGTTACCACCAGATAAAGATGTTCACTGCTGCTCTATCAGGTCCCATCAGTATTCAGCAGCAGTGGTGCCAGCCTATTCACTTAAAGGGGAGCTGGGCACAATTAGCTGTTAACATTACATGGCAGAATTAAGCCTCGGCCAGTATCCCCGAGGGAAATTAAACCACCGGCAAATCATTAAACCACAAGCTAAACATTAGCAGCCATTTGCATTTTTATTGCACCTGAAAAGAATGTGCCAGGTCCATTATCTCTGAGAGACAGAGAGGGACTTCTTATTTATTATTGTTATGTTGTCCCGCGTGGAAACACAATGGCATTTATATGGGGAAAGAAGAGGCAAACGAGAGGCCTTATTTTCACGCTCGTGGTTTTGGAGTGTTATGATTACAAATTCGAACAAGGCGGAAATGGCTGGCAGAGGATACAATGAGTTGTTTGCTATGCAAATCCCCTCGCTTTCATCCCTCCCAAAAATAAACAAACGCAAACAGATGACAATTTGCAGAGGGGCTCAGCTGAGTAAGGCCGGCAGTTTGGCTGTTGACAGGTCCTCACTGTCTGCAGTGTCATTGCCATTAAGAGTTTGAATAAACAGGCTCGGGGCCAGGAACTGGGAGCAATGAAACATAAGTGGGGGGAAGATGTTTGGGGAAGTGAATTCACTCACCCAATGCTGGTTTCTCATTTTCTCCTCTCTCCTCTGTACTTTGCAGGTGAGCGGGATGTGTGGACACACTCCTCAGCGGGCCTCTCGCTCAGTCAGATCTCCTCCTCCCCAGCCTCCTGCTGTCTCTGCAGCCCGCAACGCACAGCCGTCATCCTCAGACTCTGATGAGACTTTGGCTGGTCTCCGCAGGTGAGGGAAATAAGGGACTGTAATCCAGACTGATGAAACAGCACTCACACTCCAGTTTGCAATTTTTGTTATATTGTCCCTGACACTGTGGGCAGGTTTCCTTGAGAAACTCTTTCTCCACTCAAGTGTTTTTAACACCCCTGATGTAGTAACAGGCTTAAATGAACAGTGTAATGATGCCCAGCGGGGCAGCTGGCCTTGGCAGCACAATGACCAGATTAATGTCAATTAGAAATAGAGACACTGCTTATTCTAGCCTCTTTTACTCTCTCCTTCTCGAGGGGGATCTCACTTGCTTCACTGTTGCTGAATTTCCCTCTTATTCTATCTTATTCCATCTTATTCCATCTTATTCTATCGTCAGCTTTGTCTGTCTTACTTTGTTTCTTTCCTCCTTCCGTATGAGAAATTACACTCTTGTCCCTTGCTGATGGATGTGAGTCATAAAGTTTTTTCTCTCTCTGTTTCTCTCACGTTTCCTTTCTTTACCTTCCTCAGGGAGTTCATATCCAACCTGAGGGGCTTCAGCTTCTTCTACAGTGGTCTTGGGGAGGCATTGTGCAGCCGCGAGCCTGCTCCAGCGAACCACTCCCTCTGCTGGAATGGGCAGGAGATGACAGACAGGTAAATCAGTGTTTCATTTGCCTGAATTCACAGCTATAAAAACCGCTGCAAGCCCTATGTGCACCCACTGACAAATCCAGCCTCTAGCACACCCTACAGCCTGCAGGCAGTTTCAGCTCAGGTTTATTGGCTTTCTAAATAATCGGTTATACAAATAGTCTGCCCTGATTCCTGAATTCCCCGTACTCCAGCAGCACATCTAGGCGAGTGTAGGTGAGTTGAAGGGTAAGTTTGCCTAGAGCTGATGAGCTTCACATGAGGGCCCCCCTCTCCCACTGAGCGTGAGTGTAAATCTTGACTTTGGCTCTATGGGATGTTATTAATGTCAGGCGTGCTGTCACCTTCTTCTCGCTTAGTTAATTGCAGTTTCGATCGTTCTCTCCTCCTTCATCCAACATCTCCTGTGCACCCTGCAGAACCTCATTTGGTTTTCACAATATTTCACTTCACCCCTGTCCTTTGGCTGTACACATCATAACTTCTTCCTTTCCGCCTGCACCGTCAGACGGTCCCAATTTCAATTTGGCTTAGATAAGTTACAGATATCATCCATTCCCCTTTTTGCCTTGTAAATTGTGTGTAGACTTTAATCAATGCAGAGGCACAAATTTCAGACGAGATGTGCTGCAGGTTAATGTTTCACCTCTTGTTTCCGAGGAGGACAGAATAAATTCTGTGCTTTCTTAAACTGCTGAAAAGAGTCTGTCACAAAGATTGAAAAGAGCCTCAATCTGAGGAGTAGACATCAGGTTGGCAAAGGGGGCAGATCTGTCCTGAGGGGATGATTACAAGCTGCACCAAACTGTGATAGGAAGGTGCAGGGAGGCAGGACAGGAGACAAAATGATCGAGAGATTACAATGTCTTGCGGCAAGCAATTCTCCATGTCATCTGTGAGGGCATATGCCTGCAAATTCACTGCGGGTACATTTTCACTCTGAGATTTGTTCTGGATCATCTTCCATTATCCTCCCAGATAGGACCTTCTCCAGCCAAACGTGGCATTCATTCTCATATTGTCTCATGCAGATAAAATTAGATTGGGTGGTTGCAGGGGATAACGCGCCAGAGGGGTCGGGCACTGAATGTCTCCGATACTCGAGGAGTGATCTTTGGAGCTAAATGTGGCGCTTTTTATCAGGCGTATTTACCATCCCACCTGGAGCCAAGATCAGAGGAGCAACACTTTTCACCACATCAAAGAGCGTTACACTGATAACTGTGATAATAGATGTGCCGCCGTGTCAGCTCAGAACATTACATCTCCATTCCTCTTTTGGATTTAATGACAGTGTAAACTCATGTGCGTGTGATAGCTGATAAAAGATTAGATGTTGTGTCAACAGTGCACATTTCATTTAGGGACTGTACAAACATTATTAGAGAGTAGAGGAGCTGAGAAAAGAGGGAGGATTTGGTTATTTTTCTTTTACCTGAAGGTTGGATCTAACTTTTTTTCTCTTGTCTTGAAATTCTTGTTACAGGAAAAATATACATCGATCATCAGCATCACTGTGAATGTGCCAAAAGCCAATTTTTCAACAGTTATTCCTTGGATGTTAAATTAGCCTTTAAAAGATGAACACCTACATCGACAAGACTAAAGGCTAAATAGTTCTTATGTGTTGTGCTGTCACGTCAGAAATCAAAGCTGTTACATGTAATCTGAAGGACCACACTCAGTGGCAGAGTGAAAAGCCAGCTGTCATAGAGAGTCGGTGCGGCTGTGGCTCAGGAGGTAGAGCAGGTCATGCGCTAATCAGAAGGCTGGTGGTTTGATCCCTGGCTCCTCCAGGCCATGTGATAAAGTGTCTTTGAGCAAGATACAGAACCTCAAATTGCCTCTGGTCCATGGATGTGATGTATGTGTGAGTGAATGTGTGAATGTATTGTAAAGCGCTTTGAGTGGTCTCTAAGAGCGCAGTCCATTTAATTCATAGATTGATCTCTCCTGGAAGGTATTCATAGTGTTGTAAAGAATAAAAGTTCCACAAATAGAACAAAGAGAGAGAAGTTCAAACCCAGCGGACTCTCTTACCTCTACGCAGCTGGGCAGCTTTATTTGGGCACTACGGATATCTGTTCAAAATTTCATTTTTTTCAATTTAAAAGAAAACCCTTCGTTAATTTATTTATTTATTTTTATTTATTTATTTTTTTTTACAAATAATTTTCAGATAGTCCCTTACAGCTCTTTTCACAATATCATCTAAATTTGATTTACTTTTAGCTGAACATGACATGACATTCAACCAGAAGATATATTACCAGTCACACAGCCACACTGTTAACTCACCATATACCTCGCCCTCTGACCCTGTCTGTGCCTGGGACTGGAGGTGTGACCCATCATGTGGTGTGAAAAGCATCAGACTCCATTATGTATTCTTTCAACACCTGGAATCCTGCTTCTCTTCCCCCTCTGGTGTTTATTCCCTCACTCAGACTGGACCTAATAGCATGGTAATTGGTGTTAGATTAGATTAGGTTATCAGTGGAGCTAACGGACCTGATCAGCAAACAGTGACACAGAAACAATTGCACAGCAGACTGAGAGCTGACAACTGAGACCATCAGTGGTGAAAACTGGTTTAATGGTGCTACATGCTAAATTATGTCTCTGTAAAATTATCCAGCCTCTATCACATGAAACACTAACCTGCATCAGCTCCGTATCCTCTCTCAAAATCTCTCTCCCCTAATCCTGCTTCCTCGACCCATATTTCCTCTGTTCCTCTCTTTAATAGATCACACATCTCCCTCCATTATTAATGTGATAATTAGCAGCGGAGAGGGGGTGAGATCATGGCTAATAGGAAGAATAAATAACTGGGGAAATGTAATTTGAGTTTAATGAAAAGTCTGACTTAGGGGAGAATGAAAGACTGATGAATGGAGATGGCAGCTAGAAGGTGTGTATGGGTGCACGTGTGTCGGGAGTGTGTGGGTGCTCAGGGCTGTGTCACAGAAATGAGAATAAGTATGACCTCATGCTTTTCGCGCACACACAAAAACACACACACACACACACACACACACCAACAGGTATTTTTTTCAGGGCCCTTTTCTCTCTTACTAACCTTTCCTCTGAAAATCATTTTTCCCCACTACGGCCCATTTGTCCTTCATCTTTCTAACCTTTACTGCAATATAGCAGATGACATTTACGCTGCACGGTGACCTCTGCCCTCACCACTGTTCATATCACTGAGGTGTTTTGGGAAGATATATTGTCAATCCTGGCTATACTTAATCCAAACACACTTGCCTCATGCATGCAGAAGTAGTTAGTCTCCTCAGAGCTGTGATGGCGTGGTGGGAAGGGGTTAATTACCAGCATCGCCAGAAGTGAAGAAACACCTGCAGGAAAGTTTTGACATGAAAGACAACAACTGGAGGGAAATCTGCCTTTCAGACTCTCCAGCTCCTCCTCCCGATAACATACACAGGTGTCAACAGAGCTGCGTTTCCTCAGTTACACACACAGACATGTAAGCACCTGCCTGCAGGCTGCTCGTACCTAAATATACTCCCAGTTCTAAAGCAGGACAAAAGTACATCTCTGCTAATGTCCTCTCATTAACACCAGATATATGATTAAAAAGCCACTAATTGCCCAGTTTAATGTGCATGAAATTAATCCCCAGCCAGACTTTGCATAATAGTTGAACTCCTTTGAAGAAGTTGTCTCCTCCTGGTAAAACTCATACTTGTAAAACATTTTATACCAACATGTAACAGCTTCTCTGTGTTGATTTAAAACAGATGTGAGTTGAATTTTAATATAATTCCTGCAACACTAATAGTTCTTAATGGTCTTGATTAAGGCTGACGCTTCAACATTTTGAACATAGACCAATAAATTCTTTCTTTCTGCACAAGAGAGGTATGCAGTCTCCATAACTTTTATTAAAAATACTTAAACTATCTTTAAACATCAAATGTTAAAAAAAATGTTAATCCCTATTTAACTTTATAGACCCAACGTCTCCAGTGAGGGAGAAGTAAGTCCTCTGGTTAGGGTTGAATTACAAATGAACTTTCCAGCTCTTCAGATCGGCCCCTGAACTAAAAAACCAGAAGTGCTGTCATTCGTCTTATCAACACTAGATGGTGATAAACGCCTTGTTTGGGGTGATGGCGCATTGGTCAGTTCATGATGTCTTCAGCTCATGAGGCTCACACTGAGCTTTTTGAATCAGTGAAACTCTTTCAAAAAGATTCAACAACAAAAGAACTGATTCAGTTTCTTTCTTCCTGTCCTGTCAGGTTTCCCGGGCCTGGCTTGAAGCGACTACACCCCAGCTCTGAGTCCAGGAGCAACAAGCCCCCTGAGCCAATAATCAGCCAGATCATAGACAAACTCAAACACATCAACCAGGTGAGCTGTGTCAGTGTGTTTCTCGTGTGTGTGTGTGTGTGTGTGTGTGTGTGTGTGTGTGTGTGTGTGTGTGTGTGTGTGTGTGTGTGTGTGTGTGTTGGTGTGTGCCTGTACATGATCCATTTTGCCTCTGTGTTTAACTGTGTCTTTTATGGATTTTTATTGTAGGTTTAAACACTGCAGTTTATCTGTGCCCACGAGTTGCCCTCTCCTCTATGGAGGTGTATGCGTTTATCTGCCTATTAGTTCTACTTCTTGGTTCACTGGTGGACATTGATTTTGAAGTTGCTGGAGGTCTCACTCTGCAGCTCCTGGGTGGGCGGGTGCGTCAGCACAGGACAGGTGAAGATGTGAAACGAGGGTGTTCTGTGCTGTAATGTACCTTTCTCTTATATATTGGAGAGAAAATCCACTGGGCACCTGTGTTCAAGGTTGATGTCAAAACCTTGCTCTTTATATGTTCAACACAACGAAATTCTGAATGCGCACCTTTGAATAGACTTTATATGTGGGTCTCATCTGCACTGCTCCAAAAAAAGAGAGACCCCTCTCATTAGACACAAATCCGCCGATGTTGTGTCCAGACAAGGACACATTTTCTGAGGGTGATAGGGGTTGTTGTGATTTATAAGAATTATGTCCTCCATCCACACTAAGTCCCAGCTGTCATCAAGGCCGAAGCCCCCTTTTTTTTGCTGCTGCCATCACCATGGAAACCACCGTTTGGAGTGGGCTGACTGAGTACAGAGATGCTTGCATGTAGGCTCAAAGTCAGCCTCGGTCAGTAGATGTATCAGCCCACAGATCTGTCTGTATTTCCTGGTTCCTGGTGGTTGCACTTGTAGCTGTCAACACATCGGCTTGCCCACCTATACCGCACACACACACACACACACACACACACACACACACACACACACACACACACACACACACACACACACACACACACACTGTCTTCTAGCAGTGAAGTGTGTTTGTGTGAGTTCGTCTTTGTGCGGGAACCTCTGAGTGCTGCAGGCCTGTCTCTGTGGATTACAAACCTTCTCTCCTGTTTAAACAACCTGGGAGATCTAAAGAGCAACTGTGGACCTTCCTTCAGTCCCCCGTCCGACAACCCAGAAAAAAACACACAGGGTTGTGGGTTGAGTTGCTGTAATTTTCTCAATTACTTTTGCTGTATAACATCATGCATGCTAGTCCTGCCCCCCCCCAAGACATGATTAGATAATTCCAGGTAATAAAAATGTTGGTCTCATTTTTAGAGTTTTCATCATCTTGTCAGTGTTGGTAATAATCCCTCTGCAAACACAACTTTGGTTCGTATGTTAGGGCAATAATAATTTTACTGTTTGCTTTTATATTCTCTTCCAAATAAATTTGTCTAACCTGGATGATTGCTTGAAACCTAAATGACTGTCTGACTGTGTGATGTTATTACCAGTAGGTATGATGGCCAAAACTACAAAAGTAAGTTAGTGAAGTTTATTTATATAGCACTTTTCACACACATGAATCACAAAGTGCTTTATAGAGCCAAAAATGCAAATACATAGAAAACACAAAACACAGAGATACAGTAGAGTATCCAGTAAAAATATGCACAGTTATCTGAAAGCCTGTTTAAACAGATAAGACTTTAAATGACTCCACAGAATTGGCAGACCTTAGAGGCGCAGGTAAACCATTCCACAACTCGGGTACTGCATCCTCAAAAGCAAGAAGTTGTAATAAACCAAAATCATCCTTTAATCTTAAAAACACAGGGCATGTACACACACACTCTCTAATGTCATAAGCCTTTCAAAACTTCCTGCACTGACAGGAACAAACATTAGTACCCATATGATGACAAGCGGAGCTGCTGCAGTGCAGACTGTTTGCCATGAGGGTCAGGCTCCTGATAGGCTTTTGATGAGATTTTGCAAGAAATTGCAGTTTGGCGAAATGACTGAGCTCATTGTGTTGCAAACATTCAAACAATCCCATAGAAACATGGACACAGTCAAATCAGACGCTTTCAGAAATCAAATACTTATTTCTCATTGGCTCCCCTGTTGATGACCATGGACGTGGTATCCATGTGGACATTTGTGGGGTTTTGATTTTGTTTACATAAACGCCTGATATTTATGCAGATTGACTATTCACAGGGGAGCTTTTAATCCCAGATCTGATGACCATACAGAGGAGTCAAGCACATTTCTGCTTGAACTCCAACTTCCCTTTAGATCCTGACTTCAATGGGCTGGATTAACATCTGACAAAAGACTGACTGCGCTTGATTGCATATTTCATGTGCAGTAAAACTGTTTATGACTCATGGCCATGCTTTTCTGTATTTTTGCAGAAATCAGATTAGAGTAATATTTTTATTACAAATCATCACTCTAGTGGGGTGCACAAAATAACAGGAACGCCTTACAACATGATGCAATATAATACAATAGTCCTGCAATAAAATTCACCCTTTGCAAAGTTTACAATATTACATTTTTGTTGCTAGGATGCGAGTTTATGAACCATTTGAGGCCTTAATTTATGTATCATTTTCATCATGTTGTAAGCTGTTCTTGTTATGTTGTCTAACCATTTGTATGTATTTCTGAAGTTTGCAGACATGTTAAGAAGCAAATGTAATGTTCACTGTTAAAGAACAAGGCTACGGCTGTGTCCAAAATCACTCCCTATTTACTTTATAGTTCACCACATTTCCTGCCAGCCATTTTATTTGAGTGTCTGAATGTGTAAATTTAAGCACTATATATCGCCCGCAAACATTACACAATGGAATTGGTGTCAGTAGGATGTAATGTTTTGTGTTTTGTAGCTGCGAAAATGGCAGTTGCGCAACTCTACAGCTGTCAGCGTTGACACAAATGATAAGTAAATGTCTGAAATCTCAATTTACTGCTCACTCTAGCACAAACTGTGAGTGTCTGTTATAGAGAAGGTAGTGAATGAGAGAACAAGGGAAATTTAAGAGTCCGCAGCTACTCTAGTGTCTCTGTGAGGCTGTTGTTAGGCACTGTGTTGCTTTAAATGCTAACATCTGCAGGCTAACAAGCTCTACATAACAATGCTAATATGCTGACGTTTAGAAGGTATAATGTTTGCCATTAGATTAGCATGTTAGCATGCTAAAACATACCCACAGTACAGCTGAGACTGATGGGAATGTCATTAGTTTTGAAAAAAAATAAAGAGTGACCAAAATCATTACGAATCATCCTGACTGAAACATGAATGTTTGTCAATTGGTGTTGAGATATCTGACAGGATAAGTGAAATTCTTTTGACTTGCTGGATGTGCTAGATAAAAAGTAAAGGAATCAGCAAAGTCATTTGGTTTCACCCTAAAGGGGCCGTGAATGTCTGTACCAAGTTTCATGAGAACACATCCAGGAGTTGTTAAGATATTCCGAGACCGATAGAGCCACAACACTCACAAAACAACACATATCTGCCAACAGAGAAGGCTGATGTCACATATCATCAGAGACAAAGCTTTAAACTTGCTTTATAATGCTGCTAAATGTTTATTGACTATACACAGTATATCACGGTCCTCTAGCTGCTCTGAGCCGGCATCTTGTAAACAACCTCTGAGGACACTGGAGAAAGTGATGTTGTTTAGTTAAAAGCAGTTTTACAAGGTCTCCGCCTCCCCGCCAGTTGAAAGACCACCGTCTCTGGATGTTGCAGAGCTGAAAGCAAATGGACTAATTAACCATCCGATATGAGAGAGAAGGCCGAACTCACAGATAATTACTTTCATCTGCCCTGTTTATATGCGGAGTGGATGAGGACAGGCCAACAATGAGACAGTATGTGTAATGTTCCTGGAAGTGGACCAGCACAGTGCCATGCTGATTACAAACTGAAGTATTTCAGGCTCATGATGTCACCTGTGCATTTGAGCATCTTGCACAGTTTGTTCAGAGCTGTAGGCTGAGGAATGTATAGATTTATGTGCATTCAGCTCTACATTCAGGACACGGGTCACTCGCACGCTGGTCCTATAAGGCTCTTTCATCCTGCACACATTTTCCATCTGAATGCACATTATTCTCCTTTTGGCTGAAACGGTGAACACAATCAATGGTTCTTCCAGCTCGTACTGACCCACTTTCAAACCACGAATCACTCCCAGCCCATACCATGTGAGACTGTCATAAAATATAGGGGCTACACTCTCCTCCAACAGTGAGGGGAACATGGGACCCCTCCAAAGAATCCACTTCCTTCCAACTTTAATCCCCCCGATGTTTCATTTCTCCACCCCTAAGTGCTCCGTGACGATGGCCCTGTGAAATGCAACTATGCGGCGGAAATATGTCATTTCTCACGTTGTCAGTGTTGATCAGAGTATCAGCAGATACAGACTCTTGCCTTTGTGCCTCTGTGCGGCTAAACTAAACACCAAAGGAAAAAAAAAACCTCAGAGCCAGTCGCCTCAGCTTATAAAACAACGTTTTCTCACGCCTAAAGCAGCTGATGTCATGACTGAGCCGAGGCCAAGTTTAAAGTGAACTGTGCACTATAAATGGATGAAGAGAAATGGCTCTCTGCTTCGGTTATTGCTCCTTGACTTGGAATCTTTAAACAGTTCAGGACTGTGAGGAGCCATGGACATTTTTACTCGTGCATGCTTACACTATGTAGCAAATTCCTGTGTGAGGTCCTGTCTGTGTGCTGTGCCTTGTATATGCAGCGTGTTAAAGCTGATAAAGATGAGTGTACTTCAACATGCTGCTCACGACATGTGATGCCAGCCTGACAAGTCTCGCTGTTTTCTTAATGAGAACTTCACTGTAGCTGTGACTCTGCATTAACGGTTCTGCTTTGTGAAAACCGGCCAAGTGAGTTCCTGTGTGGAGAGACATATCTGGATCTCTTAAATTAGAACATGTTATTTTGATGATGTGTTCTTGTTCTGGAGAGATGAGTTTGTTTTCCTGAACATCTGTTTAACTTCCCAGAGTATCGGGTTTCTTCGC